AATGCATAGCTCTTAAATCCAACAATCCAGATTCTTTCTCATTTCTTTTCTAAAGTGTTTTTTTCACTTGATCTCACACACACACACACACACACATATATATATATTATACTACGAATATGATTTGGTTCAATTGAAAAATGAGAATAATGTAAAATGACACGCATTGAGATTCATGGTGTTGCACATTTCCGGTTAAAATAATAAATAATTACATATTCATGACTAAAATAAAGATATTTTACAAAAATTTGATTAGGAACTAGAGTAATAATGTATTCATAGTAACTTATGTTCTTTTTTAAACTTGAGTTAACATGACACTACAATGCAGTAACTATAAGTCACATTTGTGTAACTGAGTTTTATTTATTTGAAAAACCCTTAAAATAATGCAAATTCCACGAAAAATTCACTTTATTTACAAAAATGTCACCTCATTCTTGCTTGGTGACAACTCCGGTACCCGTTTAAAAAATGGGGTACCGTACCTACTATGCATTTGATTGGTCCAAATCATTAAATCCCTTTTAATTTAGATTTAAATAATTCAACTACATGATTCTGATTGGTCCATGTGGACAAAGGTACGGTACCTTATGGGTACCATAGAATCTACCTTCTTGCATTTATGGTAGTGCACATTTCAATTTAAAAAAGAAGACAATTTTCAAATCCGGTCCAGATTCATTCTACTTTACAAAAGGTTATCATGTAATTTATCATAAAAGAATTGTGTGTGTGTGCTGTGTGCATATATATATACACATAACACATTCCGTATATGCGACAATGCAGGTGAAAATAGTGCTCGGATCGTGCATTCGTGTAGAACTGCAGAAGAGATATGAGAATAAAATGTACGTGTTGTCTAATTTACTTAATCCTCAATAGTAAATGCTTAATATAAATGAGTGATGGCAATATGGTGATTGCGTGGAATTTTGATAGATAAGACTAATCAATATATATATAAAAGAGGAACTTTTTAAGAGCATACGGCGTGCCACGTAATCATGTCATGTCATCATATATAATTATTATTTAATTACTTTCTATATCTTTTATTTTCTTTAGAGTATTACGTTTTGTATACCATCAAATTTGGTAACTCTTATTTGTATAAAATCTGATTTTATTCGGCACTTATAAATCTGATTTCGTAAACTTTACGTTATATATAGTTCCGAAACCATATATAGTAACCTTACGTTAGTTGCACCACAACTTATTTATTTTAACTTTAATGGTGCATCATTACCACAACTTAATAGTTGCACCATATATAGTAACCTTACGTTTCTATATTGATTTTAGCAAACTTTCAATATATATATAAAAGAGGAACTTTTTAAGAGCATACGGCGTGCCACGTAATCATGTCATGTCATCATATATAATTATTATTTAATTACTTTCTATATCTTTTATTTTCTTTAGAGTATTACGTTTTGTATACCATCAAATTTGGTAACTCTTATTTGTATAAAATCTGATTTTATTCGGCACTTATAAATCTGATTTAGTAAACTTTACGTTATATATAGTTCCGAAACCATATATAGTAACCTTACGTTAGTTGCACCACAACTTATTTATTTTAACTTTAATGGTGCATCATTACCACAACTTAATAGTTGCACCATATATAGTAACCTTACGTTTCTATATTGATTTTAGCAAACTTTTAGTATATTTTATTCGGTAACTCTTTTAGTAAACTTTTAGTATATTTTATTGATTTTAGTATTACGTTTCTATATTGATTTTAGCAAACTTTGAGTACATTTTATTCGGTAACTCTTTTTTGTATACCATCTTATTTGTTAACTTTGGAGTAAACTTTTAGTATATTTTATTTTATGTTTCTAAATTTAGAATTAGAAACATAAAAACTACCTATAGTGCATATGTAGGCTATTATATATAAATATACAAAGAGAATGTAAACAAAAGTGTATTTTCACTATTGGCTTTCTCCTTAGTTTGAAGAATTCTATTGCTTAGTGTTCTTATATCAAGAATGTCATCACAATAAGTTTCTACAACATTTTTAATGGTATATTATTCAATACTACGTACAGATGACACTTTATCATTCACATGTTTATGATACATGATATTATTATGCATTATACCTGATTAATTAATATTCCATAAACGTGTTTACTTTTTTGGGTTGAGCTAAACATATTACTTGTGAAAATACATACGTATTACGGAGTATATACATTTATATAATCAAAAGTATTCCTTTTCAATGATTCCATATATGAACATGTCATAGTATAAATTCCGTTTTGAATTAAAAAACCATGTGGCTGCATTTTTCATCATTCGAAGGCAACAAAGAAAGAGTATTATGATACTTTACCAGTCACATGTTCATGATACATGATATTATTATGCATTATACCTGATTAATTAATATTCCATAAACGTGTTTACTTTTTTGGGCTGAGCTAAACATATTACTTGTGAAAATACATACGTATTGAGCTAAACATATTACTTGTGAAAATACATATGTATTGAGCTAAACATAATACTTATCTCAGTTATACTGATAATACATAGGAGTGATATTTTTATGGAATATTTGATTAATATTCCATAAAATGCAGAAGTTATTCTCTAATACGTCAACTTGATACATCCAAGTCCGACTGGACAATCAAAGTTCGTGTTACACGCCTCTGTGATGTCATCAATCACAAAAGGCAAGGAAGCTTAATTTGTCTAGACATGGTTCTGATCGATGAAGAGGTATACTTTTTTTTTAATTTTGAATTTTTAATGCATTTATTTTACACGAAAATCTAATGATATTTTTCATGATTACAAATTCCTAATCCATTTTTAATACATTTTTAATATGTAAATATTTTTGGTTGTTTCTTTAGTTTACTCCTAAAATTTAAATATGCCTTCACTTTTGAAATAGATTCCTAATCCAAATTAGAAAATCTTTATATGTTTACAAATTCCTACTTTTATTTTAATAGAATGTTTTTAATTGGATTGATTTCAGTTCCAGATTAAATCAGGTCAGATCAAACTTTAATAATTATAACAATAAGTCACATAAAAAACAGACATCTAATAGACCATATTAATTCATACCAAATCAAACCCGAAATTTTAATTCAATTAAAAACGTTCTTATTACTGAGTAAACTGTAAGATCTAACAATTAAGAAATAAAAAAAAATAATATTGAGTTCATAACAATTATGTTTACTTGAGATGCTTATGTAGAAGACCAATTTAAATTTTTTTTTCATATAATTTTTTCTTTGTTTCACAAATGGAATATATTTCACAGTTATTTTTCATGATTCAGGAGATTCCACCTATTTAACCAGAATTCAATCAATTTCAGCAAAATAAGTTAATTCTATTTATTTTAGTATCATCAAACAGACTCTATATTAGACTAAGTTTATTTTTATTTTAAATCACATTATATGTGATCCGATAGAAATTAAATTTTAAATTAGCTAAATTGCATACTGCCCGTGCATCGCACGGGCTTGAAAGCTAGTTAATTATAAGGTGAGAACTCCGGTATCCATTTAAAAAAATTGAGTACCGTACTTACCATTCATTTGAATGATCCAAATAAGTACTATCATCCGTTCCATAATTCTTGCAACAGTTTGACTTTCACGTTTGTCAATGCACAACTTTGACTGTAATTATATTTAATTATGTATTAGTAAACATTATAAAAAGTTGATATTTTGGAAATTCACATTGATAAGAGTTCAATAACATTTTATACGTAATAATTTGATTATGTATATTAGTAAAAAATCATGGTCAAAGTAAGATCTGTGAATAGTGTAAAAATCACAATGTTGCAAGAATTATGGAACGGAGAAAATATATCATTTTTAATTTAGATTTAAATAATTCAATTGCAACATTCTGATTGGTCCATGTGGACAAATGTATGATACCTTTTGTGTACTATAGAATCTACCTAATTATAAAAGTAATGAAATTTCATATGAGGGGCAAAGATGTTATATGGTGTTACACTACAACTCGACAAGTGCACTAGACCTGGAGGGGTTTGAGCCAACCAACATGGTTCCCATTTCTTCACCAAGATCTTGGACAATGTACCCTTTTTTTATGCATGGGAACCTTGAATATAAGCCTTGTTTGGCAATTAGCTGTTAGCTTTAGATGTTAGATGGTTGTGTTAGCTGTTTGATAACAGCCGGTTATGTTAGTTGTTTTGATTGCTGATTATGTTAGCTTGTTGTGAGTAAGTGTTAGACAAAATTAGTTGTTATAAAACAGCTGTTTGAGTGTAAAAAGACGTATAAGGACGTGAATATATATATATATACGAAATATATAATACTTGAGTAATGCCACTAGTGATAATGTTAAAACTATAATTATTATTTAATAAAAACAATATTTAATTTGAAAATGTTAAAAAATAAATTCATTAAAATAAAAGTAAAATAAATCTAAATAAACATATCCTTTCCCAAGAATGCTAAACTAAATAATGCTCCACTAAGCATTAAAAATTTGTTGAGTATTATTAAAGTGGTCAAATAAACTGAAAAAATCCAACTAATAATGGAAAAACCAGAAAAAGACAATTCAAGAATGAAGACATGTACGTGTGTCTTTGTAGTTGTTGGCGAACAAGGATAGATGACATATGGCTGGAAGAATATAACGGAGAAGGTAAATTTGGGGGTACAAATGTAAAAATTCAAACAGCTAAGATCAAAACGCTGCATAGCGTGATCTGACTTTTCATTTTTCGTCTTGTTCACATGGATAAGCCGAATGGACAAGCCAATTACTAAACAACATTTTTGGTTTCTTCATCTGGTCAACCAGCTGTTATTAGTCAAACAAGCCAAAAGTTGGTTGATAAGCCATTTTCCAAACAACCCCATATATGGTATGTATAGTAGAATATTCAGATTAATAATCAGACGAAAGCAACAACAATAATAAAATTAAATCTCGAAAAGAAAAGTGCTTATTACTCAAATAAAAGATACAGAGAAGCATGGGTACGCATTACAAGTAGTGGTTTATGTGTAATGGTTCATCGATCCATAACATATACTGTATGTAGTGCGTACTGCTCTATGACTTGAAAACCAACACAACTGCATGCATGTGACCCATACATACAGCAACACATTAGAACAAAAATACATCGAGAAATTAAAACATAATACTGCCTCCTTCATGGCCTCATCCCACCAAAGATTAGGTATTGTTAGTTTCTTATTCAAATATGTCAAACTTTGACCAATATACATAGTAATACTTTTATTAATATACTCCGTATATTTTTATCAATATATATTTTCTGAAAATTCTCATATCAATTTCATACTTTAATTATTATATTATTATAAATAATTTTCTAGGGAGTATTTTTTTTATTAGTCAACGATTAACATATTTGAATAAGAAAGTCAAACATGACTAGCTAGTTTAGTATGGGAGGTGGTAAAATGCTTTGAGGGTTGGGCAAAGGGATTACTGAAGGGGGGACTAAAGGCAAAGTTGGCAATAAGGATGCTGGCGGTGGCGGTGACGGAGGCGGTACGGCTGCTCCTAACAATGTTGTGTTGTGTGGCAACGGTGGAAAAGAGAGCGGCTCGTTGGACAACGGTGGCGGTGACGACGGCACAGTTTGATCTACTGGCGGAATTGTGGGGATAATGTGGCTGACGCCGCCGGGAAGAACCGCGGATAGCAGCGATTCGCCGGGTACCTGCAGCAGCACGCGAATGGCTCCGCTCATTTGTAAGTTGAAGAATGACAACAATGTGACGATTAGTAAGCACTGCAAAGGCTTGAAAACAGCAGCCATTTGGATTGATCCAATTGATTAGTAATGTATATAGCTTTGATCTATAGAACAGATTTATGATATGATATGATGATTTCTTATTTTGATAGAGGTTGGCTAGACAATGGCTTCTATATATACACTACACTACACTGCATACTCCAGTACATGGAATTGAATGCATAATTACTATCTTAATTAGGAAATTGAAGTCCTTATGAGATATTAATGGCTGGCCAGAATATAGTGAAGCTAAGAAATTTGAGAACAATGGAGGATTGGGTTTTTCAACTCATTTATTTGTACTTCGTGCGTTTTGTTATTAGGTCAATCTTTTAAATTTATTACTCCGTATGTATTAGCTTAGTGCCCTACATTCTACATATGAAATAAACACACAATTCAAGACTATTAAGCTATTTAACACCGATTGAGTATAAAAATACAAATTACCATATAAAATTTCGAGTTAGTTCTTCCATTTGATTAGGAAGGAACTTCAATTCAAGTACTGTTAATAAATAAATCAAACATTTAAACCTATGTGATTCACATATGTAGGTTAGCGGTAAGATGTTAGAGACTGTATAACCAAGCCCATTTTGGGGTCTTTTATATATGGGCTGCGCGTTCCGTAATGGCTGAGTTAGATTTTCTCTCTATAAATACATGTTCTCTCCTTGTAATCATATATCATCAGAAAATAATAGTAACATCCTGGCTTGGTAGTGCCCAAGACGTAGTCTTCTTGTGTCTTTTTTATTTATCTTTCGTTTTGATTGTGATTGTTTAAATCCTAACATTAACTAGGTTCCATGAGGTCAAAGTGAAACAATAAAAGCCACCTAAAGCTATATATCCAAATTAATATCAGTGTACTAATTTTAAGATGTTAGTATCAATTACCATGGTGACATACTGACATTACATAATGTGTAAGGATGAATATGTATACTACATACTGATTTAGCATATTGTTTAATTTTCAATCGTCTGGATTTCCCACTACCCTTGAAAAATTCAATCCACACATACATTCTTTTAAGTATTGAAAGTCAAACCATTTTGATCGAATATAAAAACAGTAATAAATGGAAGTATATTGAAATTTAACTATTCCTAGACCTTAAAAAATCATTTTAAGATTTTGTATAGACTTGTTTTTGTCAAATTCGTATATACTTCATATCCATCTTTGACAAACCAGACTTTGTGGGAAATATTCACTGAACACATGTATAATTGGTATAATCCATTTGAATATATAAACATTGATCAATGAATGTCCATAAAAAGTAAATACCTTATTAAACAATTGCAATTTATGTAAACAAATTTTTAATATTCCTTCCAATATACTTAAGATGTTTTTAATTGGTCTGAAGTTTTCTGGTCTGGTAGATATTTGTTTTATATATTTTTACAACTATATATTGAAGTCTTGGCTGAATTGGTAGATGTTTAGGCTATGTTTGGCACAACGAGTTGAAACTGGAGACTAATGTCTGAATTGAGGACTATTGTCTAGAACTGGATTATGAAGTGTTGAATCTAAACTACTAGCTGATGAAGTAAATTTGTTTGGCAGAAATAACTTAAAGGTGACTGAAAAATATAAAATTACATTACAGAACTTATAATATACATAGTACTGTATTAAACATTTTTTAACTAGGTTTGTAAATCAAAACCCGAAGGTTTTGGGGTGAGGGCCAGAGAACACCCCACCTATTTATTAATATAAAAGTGAAGTAAAAAAAGTAGGAAGGCCAAACCAAAGCCTACTCATAAATTAGAGTACATATGGATAACTAATCACATCAAATTTTAGGATACCAACGAAATGAGTAAAATGATGTTTTCTGGTATTAATATAAGTGCTGTAGTGGGCTAAGTAGTCAGCAGATTTGTTGATCTTCGGTTGGATGTGCTTTATTGACCAGTTTAAACATTGAATCTTTTTCCTGATATATACTTCGGACACTACTAGAAAAGGGACTTTTAACAATGAAAAATATTGTCGTTAAAGGCCCAAAAGTTGGTCGTTAAAGCTTTTAGCGACCACTTTTTTTTTGTCGTCAAGTGGTTGTTATAGCCTCCGTCGTTATTGGTTTTAACGACAAAGTTCGTTGTTAATAATTAACGACGATACATGATCTCGTCGTTGCTTATTAACGACAAAAAAACTCCTCATCGTTATGTAATAACGACGACATAATTTTTCATCGTTAACACATCTCACAACCTGGTATAACAACCCCAATACGCTTGTATAAACTATAAACTCTTTTTACAATTGGTTATTAAACGTTAAAATTGATAGAATATTTTGTAGTTCATTTTCTTAGAAATTTAGTTCTAATTGTAATAAATTAATACAACAATGAGAAGAAAAAACCCCAATTGATTTCAATGACATTAAATCACTTCTCTGTTTTTCAACGAAATACATCAAACTACTAACATCTCCACCAAATTAAAAGAGAACTCAACTAATGTAAGCAAACTGTCTTTATATATAAAGATTATTGTAAGTTTACACAAAAAGAATCATCCACAAAAAAAACAAAGAAAATCTTAGGGCTTAATTAAGTATACATATTCATTACAAATATGAAAAAGTAAATTCTAATCAGAGAAACTGTCCTTCAACATGCAGAACTGCAACACGTCATTACTCATCCTCAAATACCTATCAAATAAGAAAAACAGAATTCAGATACTCAAAACAGAATAAAAAATATGATATATCAAGTAAAATAATGTCTTTTAAAACACATGTGTGTGTGTGTGTGAGAGATTACATTACTAGTTAATGTTATTTCCATAATGAGAGAGACAACAATATTTCCTGAATCCAGTATGAGATAGAAAACAATAGTAGTTAATGTTATTTGGGAATCTAGATCCTAAATTGATGTTCTAGCAAATTCTATTCTTTGATGTCTAGGACTGGGATTGAGCTTGGTACAACAACTAGGAACTGAAGAAATGAAATACTATTAGTTTTTCATGTCCTGTACGTAGTTTGAAGCCAGACCTACAATTTTTTTCCTTCTATTTACTATGGGATCATCTATTAGTGAATAATGAGAAAAAAACTTGTTCAAACTTGCTATTATTTACTCGTATATTTACTAAGATATCAATTCCGTAATCATAATAAAAGAGGAACAACAACTTTGTATTTGCACATGATATTCTCTACTTCTCTTTTATTTTATACATTTCTCTATACATACCTTGTAATCCACTATGAAGAAGTATAAAGTTGGTTCACTGACATCTGTTGAAATGTTGGCATTTGAGAATCTACGAAACATATATGATCCTGAAGTGCATGTTTCGCTTCTTGAAAGTCTCCACACAATTGGACAAAAATTGGTTATATTTTAGTAGTGTGTGATTCAGCATGAAGTTCTTCTATACTAGGATGCAGCATTGTTATATCTTTATGATTTACCCTCCTCCAAATCTTAGGTCCTGAGACTTGAGCTTATAACTCTTCTGTGCAACCTATATACATAATACATGGGAAGGATAAATATAAGAGCAAGCAATGGCTTATAGAAAAAGGCATGAAATATATGTTTTCATACAGCCTGTATGTTCATATAAATGTTGTATGTTTTCAACTTGTAATTTCCAATATTAGGAAAGTACAAAGGTTGTGCAAAATCATATATTGAGCTTACGGTGATAAGCTGAAAGGCTGAAACAACAAAGGTTGTGCAGAATCGTATACTTGGTATAAAATTAGGCCTCCCATTGTAATCCTCCTCTTGTCAAAGCTACCATGACCTTCACTACACAGCAAAGTTCCCAGCTTATTAATTAAGCTGCATTTGCTCATCTTAGGGCCAACCTCCACATAAAAATGATGTACGGAGTACCTATCAGATAATGAAGGATAAAAATTATTAAATAGGGCAAAAATAAAGCATAAACTTGTTTATTTATTTTTTCAATCTTCAAAAATTATTAAACATTAAAGAAATCTACATAACACCACTACAGAAAACTAATGTATTGTCAAATGTCAAAACTTGACAACAAAAATTTCCAAATTCCCAAATAAAGTTTTTTCCCTAAAATTCAAAACAACACTCCGATTCTTTCTATTCCGAATTCAAGACTCTGAAAACAATACCAAGATCACCTTAATATTGAGAGCAAGTACCTTCCAATCTATTAGCATAGTGTCATTTAGTCATTTGTGCAAGTTGAGGGGGCTGCCTTGGTTTCAATTTATTCACAATACTCTCATATATCCTTCATCGGTATTACCTTTTGATGGACATCAACACTAACTGTATGGACAATTCAAAATGAAAAGTTCCAGAAGAATGTCAAATAACAATAACATATATTTATATCAAAACTTGGAACTTATCATCTAGATGCAAGGGACGTTACTAAATTTGTCAAATATCATATCTGCTTTCATATTCAGCTTCCCTTTCTGAGGGTCAGGGATTATAGGGCTATTAAAAAATGTAACAATGAGCTTACAAATTTTGTGGCAGCGAAAGTGAAGAGATATCATGGGTTGACCAAAGCATCTGTGTTTTTACCTTGGTAAGTCATCCACTATGCATCAAAAAAAGAAAATGTATATAATTTGTGAAAATTTACAGTACACGTGCATTTAATTACATTGTACTATTACATTTAACCACACCTAAAATGATACGGAGTATATGATTACATTACCTTACATGCTATCATGGCATACTAAACTACACCTAAGGTGTGTAATGTAAAAGCAAAAGGTGTTCTTGACTGCTTATTTTTTCTAAGTCTTCTTAAAGAGAGAATCAGTTTAACACTTCTGTCATTACTCTTTCTTTTCTAAGATAGCTTTCTTAAAGAAAGAATCAGGTTAGCTATGCTTATGTGCGTACATAAGTTTGTGTGCATCTCAGTAGCTTGTATGTACTTCACATCTATTGAGACTTTATAAATCCCATACTTGAACATCTGAAATCAGATGTAATAATACTTAGTTGATTATATTTTAACTGTATAAATCAATTTAATCAGCTGATTTTTACTTTTTTTAATGTACTATAATACTCATATTACTTTATTGGG